TATTTTATACGGAATGAAATTTAATAAAAATACATATATGGGATGGGAGATACGTGCGTTCATCCCACTTCCCGGAGGACTGGAAAAAAGGCAGAATTATCGTCTTGCCGAAGCCCGGGAAGGACAGGCGTAGAGCTGCCAGCTACAGGCCGATCACGCTGCTACCGCACATAGCTAAACTGCTAGAAAGATTGTTGCTAAGACGCCTCCGCCCGTGCAGCCAACTTCGGGCGGAGCAGCACAGGTTCAGGAGGGGTCACTCTACAGCAACACAGCTGACCAGAGTGCTGCACCTGCTTGCGGCCGAATACAACCGTGGCCGCACTACGTTGGGCGTCTTTCTCGACATCGAGAAGGCGTTCGACAGGGTGTGGCATTCTGGACTACTTTACAAACTAGAAGAACAGACCAGTGTCCCTCCTGCTATGTTGCGGCTAGTGGCGTCTTTCCTGGCAGACAGGAAGTTCTACGTCTGTGTAGAGGGCGCCGAGTCCGCAACCAGAACCATCAGAGCCGGCGTTCCTCAGGGCAGCTGTTTGTCTCCAGTCCTGTACGCGGCTTATACCAACGACATCCCAACATTGGCAGGTAGGCTGAAAGAGTGGGAGGATGACGTGGAATTGGCGTTATATGCGGACGATAGCGCTTATTTCACCTCGTCCAGAAGGGCCCACATTGCCACTGCCAAGATGCAACGACTGCTGGACCTGCTGCAACCATGGCTAGATGAGTGAAGGATAGTCGTCAATATTGGTAAGACGACCGCTCTGCTCACCCGCCGCCTCAGAAATCTACCACCTCCATTAACCCTCAACGGCCAGAAGATCGCGTACGAGAAGGCCGTGACCTACCTTGGGTGCCGGATTGACCGGGCGCTGCGTATGACTGCACACGTCGACTTCGTTGTCCGCAGAGCACGGGGTGTGCGGGCAATGCTACGTCCGGTACTGGCATCTAAGTTACCACTTAAAACAAAAGTGCGTGTTTACAAAATGTGTATCAGACCCATTATCACCTACGCTGCTCCGGCCTGGTACGCGCTTCTGAGCGAGCCTCTGAGGCGGCGATTGCAGGCCCAGCAAAATTTGACACTAAGAACGATCGTCGGAGCAGGTCGTTACGTCCGGAATGACGTAATAGCGGCCGACTTGAAGATCGAGAACATCACCGACTTCGTGGCCCGGCTAGCGCGCGGCATGTTCGACCGCGCCGACAACGGGCCACATGAACATCTCAACGGCTTTGCGCCGTTGCACACTCGGCCACCGGACGGGCGACCTCTTCCAAGAGAACTCCTCTCTATATGTGATTAGAGAGTTGAGTAACAACCCTCAATGCCGCTGATAGGCCAACTCCGACTTCACCGGATAACCTCCCTTTTTCGTAGTCTTACCCGACTACGAAAAAATGTACCGATTACGGACTAATCCGAATTTAAGACTAACAATGCCAATAGAAGGCTCCCAGGACCGGTCCATAGTGGTGCACCGCGAGGATAACACGGGTAATGGGGGCACACCTCAAGGCCCGAAACCTCCATGCACCTAGGCGCATGAAGACGATAATCAAATCCCCACCAAAGTAGCGAGTAACCGCGCCGCGCGATAACAAACCTGCGACTAATTGTTATGTTGTTATGACTAATATTTTTTAAATATTATTATTATTATTGTTTTTATATTGACATTATTATAAGTTATTTACTATTATTAATTTTCAATTATTATTAAAGATTCGCCTTAAAGATGTTTAACAAAGGTGAATTAGAAACATTTGTTTGTTCATTCAGCAGTGCATTGTTACCATTATTATTTTTTTAAATCTCCAACTGTTCCAGCACACACAGCCGCAGCCCCTTACTACGAGTATGTAAGACTTCAAAGGAATGGTCGCTGGCTAGGTTGTGTCTAGTGTCCAAGAGATGTTTAGCAAAATGGGATTTATCAGGATTGCAATTTCTGTACGGCGGCCAAATGCTCTTTATAGCGCGTCCCGAAATTGCGACCAGTCTGACCCATGTAAATGGCGTGGCATTCGTCGCAAACAAGTTTATAAACACCCGATTTTTGACTAATATTTAACTTATCTTTATTATTACAAATATTCCTAAGCGAATTGTTTGTTTTGAATGCCAGATTAATGCCGTTTTTCCTAAGAGTATTAGCTATTTTTTCCGATACGGAGCCTAAGTAGGTCAAACTACCCACATATCGCCGGACACTGAGATCAAACCGCGTACAAAAAATTGCGAACAACATGCTTTTGTTTCTTTTTAATAAGATTATCAATGAGATTTTTTGAAAAACCGTTAGAGACTGCAATTTGATAAATTATATTAAGTTCTTTTAAATAATTTTCTTTACTTAATGGAACAGTGAACAGACGGTTGATGTACCAATAAAAAGCGGCTAATTTATGTTGCCATGGATGATACGATGACGCGGGGATGACCGTGTCGGTATGAGTTGGCTTTCGATAAATTTGAAAAACATGCATCAACTCTTTTCTTGTTACTGTTAAGTCAAGGAAATTAAGGGAGCAATCTTGTTCCAATTTAAGCTTAAATTTAATTTTTTCGTGGTTTACACACACACACACACACACACACACACACACACACACACAAAAAATCAAACTGTGGAATGGGCGCATGTGTACATGTGTACCGCCGTCGCTGACCCACTACATTTGATGTACGACGGAAAAATCGACACCATCGCCACCCCAAGACCATCACCCGCGCCAAAAGCCATCCGACACAACTACGCTCTCCACACGTTGGCCCATCATAATGGGCCATCGCGATGGCTTATCGTGTAGAGGAGCTGCAAAATATGATGAGATACTGTCCCTAATAGCACCTCTACAGTCTTGGGGATGGCGACGGTGACGATTTTTCCACCACACATCAGAGGTAGTGGGTCAGTGATGGCGGTACGCATCTACACGTGGCCCATTCCACAGATTTGAGCGCCCGACGGTTGAGTGTGGACGTTCATGTTTTGTTTATTATTTAATGAATTAAAAATGTCAAAAATATGGCCTCATAATGAAGTCATAAAATTTTAATCATGGAGCTACTAAAATCAGAACATATACATAATTTGTTTTTTGTTTATTTTGAATAAAAACATAACGGTACGTGTTGTATTATCACAACTGAATGCCGCCATCGTGTAGTTGCGTTTCAACCATCGCATGGCCATCTCGCTGGGCCAGTGCTGGCTCATCGTGTAGAGGAGCTATGACTGTAGAACGTTACCTACTTATTTTATATGCTCCCAAAGCGGAAATGATGAGTAAACCACACTTAAAATTTATATACGTTTAAAATTATTATATATATTAAGCTCTGCAATCAACTATTAAGTTTAAAAAACTGATAATGTAAATTTTGTTAAAGTTAACAGTTCGTGAAAGTTCTTAATGAATGTCTTTAATTAAACGGCTACAACAATATACGCAACCTTTACATTACGTAAAGTATAATCCAGAGATTATATAGAGCCGCTAGCCCCCTCCCCCTTCGCCATAGATTGCCTCACAGATCGCCATAGCGGCCACGCGTGGCAGGCAGGGTGTGTTGTTTTTTTTCTAGATGTTATTGGCCAGACGCTGTTGCCCATCTCTTGGTTTATTTCCCTCTTTCGCCTCATATGACACCCTCGGGACAATAAGGGGCTTGTGGATAATATTCTTACACCGCCACTACACGAGTAATGATTATATTTTAACTCAAACTATTCGCTGCTATTATATTAAGAAAAACATCCAGTTGTCTCCTTGTGCCAATCCAGCAAATAATTATGTCGTCTACATATCGATAATAGTATAAGATATTTTGGTTAACAACTATATGTTGTTTTTAGAAATTATCCATGAAAATGTCCGCCATAAGTGGACTTAGAGGGGACCCCATGGCTAACCCTTCTTTTTGTATAGAAACGGTTATTAAACCGGAAATAATTTTGTTTCATACAGAGAGAGGTTAAGTTAAGAAAATCATTTGTTTCCCCGGGATGTAGACAACGTTTTTCAAAGAGATCTGAGAGTATACGCAAACAGTCAGGGGATGGGACATTTGTGAAAAGACTATCAATGTCTAAAGATAACAACATAGATTTAGGTGGAATACGAATATCTTTAATTTTAGAAATGAGATCTAAACAATTTTTAGTCTGTAAGTTGGGTTGAAACCAGATTTTTCCCGAAAGAGGAAGTTTAATTTTTTAGCAAGGAAATAAGCTGGTTCACCTATATATGAGACAACTGGACGAATAGGGTCTCAAAAATCAATTGCAAATAACATTTATTTAAGTAGCAAGTACTTAAATAAATGTTATTTGCAATTCATTTTTTGGTTGATTAATACAGTCTACATATTATGGAATATTGATGTTGGGCTAGCTTTCATGTAAATTTTTGTTGAAATAATTTTTTATCAAAAAGAAACCGTAGTGTATTAGATATTTTAAATTTATATAATTTAAAATTTAAAACATTTTTGTTTGTAGAGCTTAAGACATCACAATTTTAGTGTGAACTTTTGCTACAAGTGCTAGAGTGTACTAGTATATATTTCGCAGAAAAATAATATTTCACATAAATATAATTTCAATAATATTTGAATTATTATTGAAATTCTTTTTATGTAATATGTATATCTTTAAAAATTATGGATATGCAACATAATATTGTAGAATTAAACTAACAAAATAAGTTCTATCCTCAAACTAACTTTTGAAACTTAAATGTTATTTCATTCCTATTTTCAACTATAGCAATAATTCACCCTAAGAAAGAAATCAGTATAAATTGTTTTGAGTAATCAGATTAGTTTATATTATAAGACAAATAAAAAACACATAATACATTATATTTTTTGAGAATTATTGCAACAAACCTATTGGGCGTTTTTGAAAAATTCTAATTAGTATTTTTTCTACTCCTACACATGATAGATTTCTAGAAACTATTAAATAAATTATAATGAATATTAATTAAATAAAGAACTCTGCTGGTGTGTCTAGCTGCATTATCTCCGGTAATTCTGTGTTATCTTTGAATTCAAAGCCATCCCCATTCAGATCAGAAATATGTCTTTTTTGAGGTTGGCAAATAGAGTTAGGTTCAAAATCATCGTCACTGTTAGAAGAAATATCATCATCCCTCAAGTTACCATCACCAGGAATAATATTAACATGTTTGGATTTTCCATGAAAACACAAAGGATCCATTTCTACTCCATCTCTTACTCCTAGGCAGGCAGTGCCAGTTGTCATTTAACAAGGCCTTTTGTGTTTGCGCATATGCTATGTTCAAATAACAATAATTCTTAAAGTAATAAAGATACAGCTGTAAACTTTACGTTGTATTGTAGCTTAACTCAAAATCTGTCGATCTAGTATAAAAATAAAAAGGGTGAACGGGGTTAATTTTGCAGTAATTTACAATAATTTGCCGATTAGCATATTTTTTTGATATTTATTTGAAGTAAAATTTTTTTTCTTTAAAGTTACAAGTATGTCCACAAAAATTTTGATAATGTAAACGATAAACAATATTATTGGCCTCGGAATGAGTTAATTTTTATTTCAGTAAGTCTAAAACTTTGAGAGATATGACTTTTTTCGTAAACGCGTAGAGAATATCTCAAGAAAAAAACAAAATGGCGGGGGAGGGGATTAGACCTCAGTGTATAGTGTATTTTTATATTAAAATAGCTGTATTATAAGTACCTAAAATATCGCTAGTCCGTGACCGGACACACTTTTTTTATATATATATATATATATATATATATATATATATATATATATATATATATATATATCATGTATATTAAATATAATATTAAACACGGCTAACTACGAACGCTAAGTTGATTCTGCCATTTTATTGACGAGCATTTCTCGCACTTTAGATTTGAACGAAATCCGGTTTTCGGCATTCCTGATTTCGGAAGGAAGAGCGTTCCAAAGAAGAACAGATTGAACAAAGAACGTTGATTGTACAAAATTAGTACTAAAAGGGGGGCACTGAAGCAAAAGGTTATTACTAGAACAGAGAACTCTATCATGGTTGGAGCTAAGATATTGAAAATGAGGAGTTAAATAAGATGGAGAATTAGGAGACTTCAAGATAAAGTAAAGAGTAGTGAGTGCACGTAGACTACGGTGCTGACGAATGGGTAACCAGTTGAATTGAGAGCGATAAGTAGACACATGATCATACTTTCGAATATTAAAAATGAATCGAATGCAGTTATTAAGAAGACGGTCATATTTGTTCAAGAGTTCTGCATTCAGGTCAAAATAACACACATCATCATAGTCGAAAATGGGAAAAATTAAGGTCTGCACAATAATCGTCTTGGTCCTGGACGGGAGAAAGTTCTTCAGGCGGTAGAGAGAACGCAAAATACCTGTCACTTTCTGACAAACATTTGCCACTTGAGTTTGCCAGCTCAAGGTGGAGTCAATGTGCAATCCAAGGTCTTTCACGGTATTACTCAGTTCTAAAATAAAACCGTTAAAAATGATAGGTGGTAAAGCTGTGGGATCCAGTTTCTTTATCATCCGTTGGCTACCTATTATTATAGCCTGGCATTTGGATGGGTTAACTTTAAGACCAAACTTGTCAGACGCGTTCTTTATATACTCTAGGTCCCTATTAAGAGACTCAATTGCTGTAGATATACAGTCGACCTTCGCGTGTGAGTACAACTGCAAGTCATTAGCATACAAATGATAGGCACACTGAAGATTTGGGGTAATGAGATTTATAAATATTGAAAATAACAACGGAGATAGAATACCGCCTTGAGGAACACCAGCATGCAAGTCACACCAACTTGATGAGGACTCGTCAATGCGAACTGACTGCTGGCGGCCTCGAATATAAGATGAGAACCACTCCAAAGCCTCAGATGAGATCATAGAAAGTGAAAGGATTGATAATAGGATGTCGTGGCTGATGACATTAAAGGCGTTAGAGAAGTCAACCAAAACCAGTACTGTGACTTTAGTTTCGTCCATGCCTGTCCTAATGTCACCAGTGACTTTGAGGAGCGCGGAAACAGTGCTATGACCTGGCCTGAAACCAGACTGTAATGGGCTTAACAGGTTATTCGAGAAGATAAAATGTGATAGCTGTTTGTGTACACAAGCCTCTAGCACCTTTGATAAAAAGGGAAGAATGGATATAGGTCGGAAGTGATTAGGTAAAGAAGGATTAGAAATTTTTGGGAGAGGTATAATGTAAGCTTTACGCCACAGCGACGGAAAAACTCCAGAATCCAGAGAGAAGTTAATTATATGGGAAATAGCAGCAATTTAATTCACATTGTAAGTATTATGTGGATAGCATTGTGGGCCACATTATTGTGAATACATCATGTTATTGTATTTTAGATATTAGTGTTTTTTGTAGATGTTTGCTGTTCCTTAATAAATAAAATTTAAAAAAAAATAAAAAGAAATTCTGCTGACACTAAAATTTTGATATACTTATTATTTATTTATTTAATTTTTACTTTAATTAAATCTGTTAAACCAATTACATTAATTAAAGATAACATATTCTTCTCGCTCACAAAACTTCAGGCATTCAGACAATATTATACGTCCATTCATCCGGAAACTGGTCGCACTCAGGATTTGTGTCCAGGAGAGCATTAAGTGCGGTGAGGACACGAGAAACAGGCAACACTGCTGGGAGGTCTTTTATCATAATCAAAAAAAGCAGAGGGTCAAGAACCGATGCTTGACTCACACTTGAGCGTGTGTGATAGGGTCTTGACTCGTATATATCGAGTCTTACATACTGCTGGCGGTTGCGAAGGTAGTCTGCGATTAACTGAAGAAGACCTGGGGCAAAGCCCATGGCTGCAAGCTTTTCAAGAAGCATGTTAATATTAACCGTATCAAACGCCTTTCGAAAGTCAAAATAGATGATATCGACCTGGTAACCCCTGTCAATACGCACTGACATGTAGATCACAAGAGTCAAGAGATTTGTGTCCACAAATTTTTTGCTTCGGAAACCGTGTTCTTCATTGCATAAATACTTGTGATGTTGATGATGATGAAAATGTTGATATTACTCAACTACCGTCTTTTTCGAGCCTTTTGGTATGGATTACTCTCAATAATTTCCACTGTTCAGGATAAATCCCAACTTTTAATGCTAGGTTAAATATATGACAGAGGCAACCACACAAAACCTTTTTTGCACTCTTTAATTTTGTAAGGTGGTACTTAAAGGTCATATAGTACTTTCGGCTTTAACTTCTTTATTGCAATAATAACGTCAGCAGGGTAACCATCGTTAAAATTTATTATATTACTGTTACGAGCTTGAGGTTCGTGACAATAAAAACTGCCGACTGAAATACCAAAATTAACACTTTAATCAACGAACACCAATTAAAACTTAAAAACACTAATAATTAATCACACTGATTCACTTTATTTCGCTCCGAAGCTTCGCTTGTGTCGCCGAGTTCAACTCTGTCCCCATCGCATCTTGCAGCGCCTATATATTTAAATTAGCAAAGAAATATCCAGAATGTTCAAGTAAACACGCGCAAGGTACCGAGCGTTCGAGTTTCGACTAGGCGCTGTCGGTTGCGTGATTTGTGATGTCATTTTCTCAATGCTCCCCTCGCTCTCGTTCCTGACACTAGATGGCGCTAGTTGACTTATTCATGCAACACTGCCCCCTCCTAAGACATGCTCGTCCCGAGCATTATCGGTCCCATAATAACGCGCCAAGCGATCCACATGGACGATCTTAGGAGTCCCTCTTGCGCCTTTCTGTATCCGGTAGGTCACATCGTTGATCCTGGTTACAATCCGGTACGGGCCGTCCCATTTAGCTTGAAGCTTAGGACATTTCCCTTTGCTGCGGACTGGATTGTGCAACCACACTAATGAACCTTCGTTGAACCCTTTATTGTTCATTTTGCGGTCGTACCGGGTTTTCATTTTCTCAGACATTTGCTGGCCCGATTGTCTGACGTGCTCATAAATGTCATTCATTTTGTTCCGCAAGTCATTTGCATAATCGGTTATACTGCGTGGGGCATCAGGTGGTATCCCGGTGATCAGGTCCGCAGGCAGCCGTAATTCTCTTCCAAAGTTTGCGAAAGCTGGTGTCACTGCTGTACTTTCGTGAACAGAACTTCGATATGACAACAAAAACGGTTGTATGTGCTTGTCCCAATCTCGTTGCCGATTGTCTACAACTTTTGCTAGGTATCTCTCCAATGTCTGATTAAATCGTTCCACCATTCCATCAGATTGCGGGTGATAAGAAGTCGTTCTTGTTTTATGAGTACCCATAACTCGGCAAGTTTCCTGGAATATTTGAGACTCAAAATTCCTTCCTTGATCGCTGTGAATCTCTAAAGGTACTCCAAAACGACAGAAGACTTCATGAACTAGTTTATCTGCAACTGTTGAAGCTTCTTGATTTGGAATGGCGAAGACTTCTGGCCACTTAGTGAAGTAATCCATCACAACCATGAAATACTTGTTACCGCTTTCACTCTCCGGAAACGGCCCCGCCACGTCAATGGCTATTCTCTCCCATGGTGCACCCACATTGTACAACTTCAATGCACCTCTACTACGAGTCGCGTCGATTATCCGAAATAAATGGGGGACATGGGTGTTCGGTAAACCAGTTTATTCGTATAATCGAACTGTGTAATTTTATGTACCAATATACAGTTTCGTCAGGTTTTTAAACTTTTCTAGAACATAATCTTCTTGTTTCAATACGTTGCTTAATTTGATTTTTAAAGAATCAGCAGACAGATTTCTCCTTGTATTTCAAGCTCACGAATGTCATGTCTTGACTTAAACAGTTTTAACCAGCCCGTGCTTGCTTGAAAGTTCGATGGCCATCCAAGTTTTTTATTAAAGGTTTTGTGCCTTTACGTAGAATGAGATCTGAGATTTCTTTCTCCTTGTGATCTTTTTTGTGTAAATCACTTGTAAACACCGCCATAGAGATCGGTGTTCGTGGCGAGCTTCATAGTTTTGCGACTTGTCGATCCATCAGTAGAATCAAGCTTGGATATAAAATTTTATGTGGTCGTCTTTTGGTTTTTTATATACGAGTACGTAATTGTCGACTTACTCATTTAGTTAATTAGATAACTCGGTTGCAGATTCACCTTCCTCTAACCGTTCGTTAATGTCGTATTTTAGCTAGCTACAGCTAATAGGGT